CCCCACCCCCACCCCCACCAGCACCAGCACCGCCCCAGCCTGCAGTGTCGTTTGTGGAGATGGCTGTGGCGATGAGGCATCGGTATCAGAGGCACCTGGAGGATGAGGACGAGCCCGAGGAGAGCTATGAGGAGACAGTCGTCTGCAGCTACGGCAACTGGAGCAGAGTCGACCTGCAGTGCTTCCGTAAGTCATCTGCCTGGTGGCCACACACATCACATACATGCCTGTCTCACTCACGCGGCACACCTGATCTGTCTGTCTGTATCTGTGTCATCATGGATTTGATTGGCCCCATCGATATTTCAGTGGATTGTGGCCCCTTCCCGTACGATGCCTTCAACACGAGCCGCTATATAGTAGAGGACCCCGACGGCACCGAGAGCACCATACACGGGGCGTACAGGCAGATCAAGTGCGTGCAGGGCATGACCTCACTCCCTGCCAACCCAGGATTCGCCCGGGCCTCCTGCTTCAACGGATCTTGGACACCTGTCGACTTCAGATGCAGAAGTGAGTGATTATACGGGCAGGCACCATGCAGACGAACGAACGAACGAACGGGCCACACACAGAGAGAGACGTCCCTGTCCCTGTCCATGTGTCTGTTCAGAGGACTGTCCTCCGTACCAGGTTCGGTCTGAGGCGTATGCGCTGATAGTGTCTGGTGAGGACAAGGAGTCCTTCCCCCACGAGACACAGGTGCGGGTGCAGTGCAACTGGACGTTCGGCTACGGCAACGCCACTGGGGAGGGGATCTCCATATCCACATGCATCGACGGAGAGTGGAGCACACTCGAACCCATGCTCGACTGCAGACGTACTCACTGACGCAGCCATGGGCACAACGAAGGTGTGGTGTCCCATATATTTTCCATTGTCTGCAGACAAGTGCCACAGCTATCTCGAGGAGCTGGGCGACGAAGCCGACAGTCTTCGGTACAAGATCTTGACGGAGGGTGACCTGATCGACCCCGACGGGTCAGTGGAGCTGCTGGGTCGGTACCCCATGCACACGTCAGCCGTCATACTGGGCTGCGAGAAGGGATACAGCCCCATGTTCGAGCTCCCAGAAGACCCACGCAGCACCGTCGACTGCTCCCTGATCAATCCGGGGAAATTCAAGCGCACACACTTTGGGGGCTCCACGTCCGAAAAGGCTGGTGCGGGAGGGCAAGGGGGAGGGGGAGGGGGAGGGGGGGCAGCGTCGACAACGGCAGTGGTGGAGGTGGGATCAGCGCAGCCTGCTGATAAGGACACGCAGCCTGTGGATGTGGACTACGCCGGTGAGAGCAAGAAGCTGGCCAATGAGATGGGGTCGCGGAAGTGTGAGGTCATCCGGTGCTTCGACGGACATTGGACTGAGAAGATCCTCCAGTGCAGAGGTAGGTAGGGGAGAGGGAGAGACGTCACATCACATCTGTGGCTGGCTGGCTGGCTGGGTATCGCGGGTGCAAAGCAAAGGGCGGTTGGTTCCTTGGCTGTCTGTCTGTCTGCCTCTCGATGCATGCAGCGTTGTGTCCCCCGTTTTTCGACCACCACCCCCCGCAGGACGGTGAGATCATCACGGGTCTGTACAAGAGCCAGTACGCCAAGGAGGGAGACAGCATCACTATCGGATGCGACAGATACCCCAGTCAGTGAACAGAACACCATACACCCCATCTCGTTGATGAAAGCAAAGCGCGCATACGGACGGACGGACACCCTGATGCACTTATTGCACTTGTGCAGGGTTGGAGGACCATTCGCCCACCAAGTGGAAGTGGTGCTACATCCCCGACTCGGCCACCAGCATCGCCAAGCAGGAGGGCGGGGCACTGCAGGAGGCGGCCGCCAAACAGCACGAGACACAGACACTTCACTGCGTCGAGGGACACTGGGAACAGCTACAGTTCCAATGCATCGGTGACCGACCGACAATCTATCTGCCCACACACCACACCCAGTGAACTGCATGCGTTCCCTCTGCCCTCTGTGTGTGCGATGCGATGTGTGCAGCCAAGTGCCGCCCCTACCCCTTGCTGGGTGACCCCGACAAGACTCCCTATCTGGTGTCTGTCAACATTCCCCCCAACAAGAAGAAGCGAGAGCTCAAGGCCAAGGGCGGCGCACCGCCGGGGAAGCCCACCCTCATTTATGATAGCGAGGTCGACCCCGACCGGCCGGCCGACGAGGAAGTAATATATATATATCTCCGCACGGCGCCATGCGGTACATTGGGTGCAGGGAGGGCACCGAGGACCCTGAGTGGGCCGCAAACCACCCCGACCGTGATTTCGACATTGTCGAGTGCATCAACGGCACCTGGAGCCCTCGGGAAATCAGATGCAAGGGTAGGGACATGCATCCACACGTGTGTCTGCCTCATGTCATGCGTCTCTGCTCTGTCTGCATGGACTGCCTGCCCACAGAGAAGTGTCACGGTTACGACTTCCACAATCTGAGTGCCTTCCATAATGGCGAGGCCTACATCGTCGAGCCGGCCATCAACCGCTCCCATCTGTATGACGACGAGTATGTGGTGCGTGTGAGCTGCAACGCCGCCGAGCACGACGAGCCTTTCCCCGTGGAGACCTCTATGGGCAACGGCAGCTACATCGAGAGCAGGTGTCTCAACGGCAACTGGACCGCCCTCACCAGCTGGTGCACCAGTAAGCAAGCTAAGCTGCCATGCCACCACAGGACAATGCTCATTCACTATGTCCTTTGTGCCACCCACCCATCACCCGTCCAGAGGAATGTCCAGCGTATGTCAAGCCGGACCGCATCGAGGTCATCGACTCGCCCTCCGACAGAGTGACGCCGCCTGAGGGTGCCGTTGCAGCAGGGGGGGACCAGTCGTCGGTGCACTATCACCACCTCAGCAATGTGGAGCTGAGGTGCGAGATGGGCTACCTCAACGCCACGGGCGACGACCCGGAGCTCGTCACGTGTGTCGACGGGGAGTGGTCTATGAGAACACTCAAATGCATGTGTAAGTCCGTCCAGAAGCCAAACGGCCGCGACAAACACATCCATCCATCCAGCCATCCAGGCAGACCCCATACCATGCGCAGACAGACAGACAGACAGATACCCACACACACATGAATGAATGAATGACCAGACCAGCCGGGGGGCCAGGCCACCTCACCTTCCGTCCTGTCTGTCCTTGTCCGCTTTTTCCTTCAGTGCCGTGTGATTACTTCCGTGACTCGCCCTATGTGGACCGCACCTCTCTGGAGGAGGGCCGGCTGGTCATCGAGCCCGATGACCGTGACGAGTGCCCACACCGTGCCAAGGTGCTGTTCAACCCCGACGCCGACCCCAAGGAGAGGCAGGCATGTGTCGACTCATTCGCACACGACGCCAAGCGATTCATCTCATGCAACGGGACGGCGGGCTTCTCCCCAGTGACCGAGACCACCATGGCCGAGAGCGAATGCGTTGACGGCAATTGGACATACTTCCAAATCGAATGCAAGGGTGAGTGGGTCCGTAAACAAAGGAAGGACCACTGCAGGCAGGCACTAGCAGGCAGGAGACATGACATCCGTCTGTCCGTTTGGCTCACTTGTCGTCGGCTCTCGGCATTCTTTTCCTCTTGTCGGTGTGTGTGTGTGTTTGTTTGTGTGTGTGTAGGCAATTGTCCGAAGGTGGTGGATTCGGTGCTGCCTGAGCCCAAGAGTGCGTATCTGGTGCAGGGCCTGGAGGCGACCCACGGTGCAGGGCCATCATCACGTGTGCGGGCAACCACACGTCGACGGCCGGCCAGTCTCTCGAGGAGATCCACTGCTCGGACGGCAAGTGGTGGAAACCCACACTCAGATGCGAAAGTGAGCTGAGCTGCACCGAACACACGGAGGGAGGGAGGGAGCACTCGACTGGCCGACCGGAATGAGGCCTTCCCTCGTGTTGGTGTGTGTGCGTATTGATTGATTGGTTCGAACATCATATTCATCAGAGGCGTGTGTGGACTACATAACATTCCTCGAGGATCACGACCCCGTCGTGGTGACGACCGACCGGTATAAGGTGCTCTACACCAGGGGGCAGGGGTCGGCCATCATACGCTGTGGGGACTACTACCTTCCGTTAGGTATACCCACAGACACACACAGATATAGATAGGCGCCGGAGGGACCCCGCTCGCACGCACCTTCTTATGTAATGGATGGATGGATGGATGGATGGCTTTCTTGTTTTCCTCCTCAGTCTGTGCCTGACGGCGCGCCAGCCGATTGGTCGCCCCAGCCGCAGCAGCTCATCCGGTGTCTCGATGGCAGCTGGGAAGAAAGAACACTCGAATGCTTCAGTGAGTACAAACCACAATACACACACACACACACACACACGTCACAGTGCTCAATCGTTTTTGTGTCTCACTCACTCATCAGAGACGTGTCCTGAGCTTACTCCCGATCCCCAGGAGGACATTTCCGAGTCCTTCGGGCCGGCCTACCGCCTAGAGTACCTCGGCACACACCTTGTCGAGGGCAAGGACCCCCCAATGGTGTACGACAACGCCAACAGGACCATCAGATGCTGCGAAAACAACGCATCCATCTCTGCATCGGACCCTGACGCCGGCAAATGCATGTAGGCAGCCAGCCGGGCAGCCAGCCGGGCAGCCAGGCAGAAGCACAGCAGAGGGGAGGACCACAACATACATATGTCTCCCTTCCTCCCTCAATGCATGGCCATCGGTGTGTGTATGTGATGTGCTGTGTGTGTGTTGTGTGTGTCAGTTGGGACTGGTCCGTGAAGATAGCGGGTCCCGAGTCGGGCGGCGAGTCGGACATCGTCTTCTGCGTCGACGGACAGTGGACCTCACAGAGACTCGTCTGCAACCGTACGTAATCGACTCGGGCCGGGGAGAGACAGACAGACAGACAGATAGACACTGCTCGCTCCTTCTCTTTCTCTGTCCTCTCCTCCCGTTCTTGCCTGCCTGATCCATCCATCAATCTGTGTCTGTTATGTGTGTCATGCCCTCTGGACATTCGTCATTTCAGCCAAGTGTGTGGGTGTGGAGAGTGAAAGGTCTCTGCTCAACGTGGGCAGCACCTACAGATGGACCAACGGCAGCGTGCTGCTCAACGCGGCCGGCGAAGAGGCCTACAAGACACCCGAGTCGGGGAAGGGTGCGGTGGCGCCGCTGCTGCCCTACGGAGCTGTGGTGACTGTGGCTTGCAATGCCAACTTCTTCCCCGCGCTGCCCCAGGGGGCGTTGCCTGAGGGCCAGGACAACCCACCACACGACCTCACTTGCAGGGCCGGCAGTTTTGACGCCCTGCCATATGCTTGCTCAAGTCAGTCAACACAGACAGAGACACACAGAGACACAGAGAGACCAACGCAGACAGAAGACACACCCTATGTATGTGTGTGTGTCTCTGTGTATCTGTCAGGTGTGTGTCCTGATCCCGCATTGGCGGATCTGTCTAACCTGACGGTCTCGGTATCGCCCGATAAGCCATCCCCCGACCCCAAACAGTTCCCTCGTGACGTCACAGTGGCATCACTGAAGGCCAAGGAGCCTGGCCTTGACAGACACGCGTCAGTCCTCTATGTGTTCCGGCTCTGCTGGTATGATCCATCAAGAAGAGAAGACCTCTTTAACAAACAAAGTCCGGAGAGCATTGGGGAGCTGACGGCCGCCGAGACGGTGGGGGTTGAGGGTGAGGGCGGGAAGACGCCTGCAGGCTGGTATGAGGATGAGCACGGTTTATATAAGGTCAAGAGGCACAGAATGGTCTGCTGGATGGGCCAGTGGTCGGACAGCGGGGAAAAACTGCTAGAGTGCCTCTAATCTGTGTCAGTCAGTGCCTGTCTTCATGGATGACTTTGGTCGTTGTTTGCCCTATAGGCAGGCAGGCAGGCAGGCAGGCCGGCCGGCAGGTGGCAAGGGTTTTGCCGTGTGTGGCCTTAGGCAGGCAGGCAGGCCATGTGTGTATTGGATTTGTGTATTTTCTGCCAGCCACTGTGTCAGCAGACATCTGTGCAGACGGCTGCTGTATGTTATGTGTGCTTACATGGACTAACCCATCGGCATTGCAGGCCTTATTGAGATGGACGGATTTGGTTGGCTTCAGGCAGTCATTCATCCTCAGTCATCGTTCATTCGTTCATTCCCGGATCTATCAGTCGGCTCGCTGGCTCTCACACACGCCACGCCTCTAGACGTCGACCGACCATTCGTTCTGTCTCTCCTCTTTCTCTCTTCCTGCTCTTCCTGCTCTTGCTCTCCTTTCGTCCTTTCTCGTCCATCCATCCATCCATCCGTCCATCCATTCACTCACTCACTATAAACACCCAGCCAGCCAGCCATCCTTCGACGAATTCGCCCGGCCACACACACACACGTACATATGCACATCCATCCATCCATCCATTCTGGGCATAGCGGCTATGCAGCGCGTCAGTCACTGGCGGCGGTCTCTCTGCCCCTGTGTTGTGGCCCCCCTCGGCTGTGCGCTCGACGTTGGTCCCGAGGTATGCTGTGAGTTGGGGCTCTGGCCGTCCTGGGTAGACACCGACTGCGCAGGGGGTGGTGTGGTTCGGCCGGCGGTCCATCTCGGGAACGAGAAGCCGATCGGCCCCAAACCACCCCGCCTGCCCGACCGACCTGGGGGCGTGACGGGAGCAGACGGATGGCGGTTGGTCTTGTCCTCTGCGTATGCCGGTGTGGGGTGGGGTGGACTGTTGGGCGAGCTGCTGGGGCCGCCATGGTGAAAGGTGGCCGGGGCGTTGAGCGATGGACTGGGGTGGTCGGTGTTGGTGTCATTGTTCAGGAATGGGGGCAGCAGGATGGTGCTCTGCTGCTGGTGCTGGTGTTGCTGATGGTGCTGTTGGAGGTGCTGCTGGATGTAGGATGCGGAAGGTCCTGCACTGGGGTTGTACTCGTGGAGCTCCTCGAAGGGATGGTTCTGGTTGGGGCGAGGCACGCCACAGAGAGACAGCCAGGGACCTGATAGATAAGGACGACATGACAATGTGCAAGACAACGACAGACAGTGGCAGATGGCGGCTGGTGTCCGGTGTTTCTCTCTGCATGGCCGCTTACTTTGGCGGGCCTGTCCGCCGGACCTTCCTCCGCCATGTGCCGGTGCTTCATCCGATGTGGCGCTGCGGCGCCGGTCACCGCCCCAGCCGCCAGCCCCCCTCTCGATCTCTCGCGTGTCGCCAGCCTGCATGGCGAAACCCATCCCGTCGATACCAATACCCCATCCCCGCATGGCTGCATCCACCCATCCATCCATCCATGCATCCAAAACACACACCACAAGATGGTGAGTCACCAAGGCTTCCACGATGTGATGTATGTGTTCTTTGGCCACACGGACAGGACAGGGCCTGACCTGCAGTGATGGGTCCAGTGTTGTGTGGGGGCGGTGCGGTCCGTTCGGCGCCGCCCGTCATGAGACCGAACATCTGCTGCAGCCCGAACAGCCGGTCGCACCCGCCCTGGTGCTGCTGAGGCTGGTGCTGCTGCGCGTTGGTCATGGTAGCGTCGTCCTGGTGGGTGCGTGGTGGGTGGGTGTGGTCGGGGCTGAACTCCATTTCCTCCTCAAACACGACGGGCTCCTCAAGCGGCGCCACGGGCGGGTGGGGCCCTAGCGGGAAGAAGCGAGACGATCCATCTGGTGATGCAGGGTGGTCAGTGGTGTCGACAACTGATCGAACGAACAAGCATATGAGAAGAGAATAAGTAAGGTACACCGAGTGCAATGCCATCAATCAACTAAGTGGGGGTGGATTTCTGTGTGTCTGTAAGTAAAGCTGTACCTTGGTGGCTGTGTCTATGCTGGCTGGCGTCCCCTGCGTCCTGCCCCTGCCCGCCAGCCAAGGCGTCTGATCCACATGCAGCCGAGCGAGCCCCACACGGACCCATCGGACGAAACAAACATATGAGCCATTCATTGAGTTTGCGTGTGGTGCAGTGTCTGTATCTGTATGTTGTGTGATAACCCTGGTTGGGATTCGCCTGAGGCCCGGCACCACCACCCCCCGCCTGCCGACTGCGACCAATAGGAACCAACTTGGCGCCACCTGCTCGATAAGAACGAGACACGAGCGAGACACGTGAGTGAGCACCACCAAGCCAACCCTCAGACCCACCCACCTGTGCCAGTGCTGCCGCTAGACGCATCCTGTCCCTGCCCCCGCCCCGCCCCACTGGCACCCTGCCCCTCATCCATGAGCGATAGAGAGGACGGAGGCAACGCGAACGAGTCCTGCTGCTGCTGCCCGGCGGCCCCGGTCATCTGCAGCGCGGTGATGGTCTGTGGCCGAGAGTCCTCCCATGCCGACAGGATACCCCCACTGCCGTTGCCCTGGATGTGGGGGCCCAGCTGTGTGATGCCGGGCGATAGGGGCTGCGGTGCGGGGGGCAGTGGGAGGGTGGCCACGTGAGATGAGCCGAAGGGCGCCGATCCGCTGCTGCCCACCGTCATGCTGCCGTGACCGAGCGTCGGGCTCACCAACCCACGAGCTGATGGAACGAACGAGGCAGGGAAATACATACACGAATTGAGAACACGAGACTCTCTTGGTGTGTGCCGGGGAGTCAGTCTATCTACCTTGCTGTCCCCAGATGTGCGGCGCGCTGTTGAAGTTGGTCACATCAGCGGGGCCAGTGGAGTGCGAGGGCACTGCACTCATGAACTCTGAAGAGCATCAATCACGACAGACACGTAAATGCATGACACTCACTCCTATGGTCGTGGTGCGACGTGCTCTGGTGCCTTGCAGGCCTGACTTACCAGCAGTGCCGGCTCCCAGGTTGCTGTGTGCGTCGGTGAAGGAGCGGCCATCTGCCCCGTCCATGTCCATTGCCCGCCCGTCGTCACCACCCTCATGGCCCATGCCGACCAGCCCCATGGACACCAGCCCCTCCCCACCCAAGTCAACATCCACGGTGTGTCTGATGGCCTGGTCCAGACGGCTGATGGCGTTGGGCGAGATGAGGCCCTCCGCACTGTCGCTCCCGGATGTGTTGTGGCGTTGCTGCTGGTGAGTGGGGCTGGGCTGCGGGGTGGGTGAGCTGCCCTGGCTCTGATTGGACGCATGGTTCCCCACCTCAACTGTCAGGGCCTGCATCGGACACTCACAGACACACACGAAGTCACAACACATTCCAAATGATCTCCGCCCCCAAGTCTTTTGTGTGGGTGTGCGTATCTCATCTGCTTACTGGCTGCCGATGTGGGTGGACGGGGTGGCCGTCGTGGGGCAGCTCCAGCGACTGTGCTCGCGGTGTCAGCGGGGATGGCGATGCGTTCGGCGACACGTGGGCGAATGGGTTGTGCACAGGGGAGCTGCCGGTGGGCGTCATGGGTGGCATGGGCAACAAGGGACCACCAGTGGGATTGTGCATGTGCGATGGGCTGTTGGCGCTGCCCTGCTGCTGGCCAGGGGCTGCAGGCTGGCTCATGGCCTGATGGGGCGACATGGTTGGCATGGTGAGGGGGTAGGGGCGGCCCAAGAAGGACGGCCCAAACCATGGGTGATCTAACGCCTCTTGAGCTGACACAACACACACATACACACACATGACACCGGAAATGTCTCGCAAGGCACCCAGGTGGCAGAACTCCTCTCTCTGTGCGACCTACCTGAGGACAGTCTGTCGTTGGGGTAGTAGGTGAGGAGGCGGCTGACGAGGTCGGTGGCCGCCGGGAAACGCTGCACCACGGCGTCTTCGAACTTGACACCCTGACGCACGCGCGGGCAAATGAAT